ACTCTCCAAACCCTACCTCTAGTGCTGGCCTTTCTCCTGAGCACGAGTCATGGCTCCACTTCCCTCCTACCTTCTCTCCCTGGACCCTCCACAGTACCTCAACCCCACACATTCCAACAGAAACTCTTCTCGTTTTTCTATTTCAGTTAAAGGTCCTGTCCTCCACCTATTCAGTCCTGCCAAGGGGTCATCCGAGACTCCATCTCTTCTTTCCCTCCCAGATCCTTCACATTTCACTTGCTAAAGACTCTTGAGTGCCGCCTCTTTCTCCAGGCCCAGTCCTGCCTCGGCTTCAGGGGTCAGCATCACTCACTGATTTTAAGCTTAATTACTTTGGGTTGTCAATCACGATTTAAAATTTTTGTATCTTCAGCACCTACCTCCATACCTGGCATATTGTAGAAGCTCAGAAATGTTTGCTGAAATGCATAAACTTCCTTTCTCTCTAAAATACAAATGGATTGTTGTCATTTCCCTCCATAAAACCTTCTGATAGCTTCCCCAGGCCTGTAGGATCAAGTCCAGAAGCAAACACAACCCTTGCTCCTCTGGTCCCTCTTCACTCTGTAGCCTCAGCTCTCACCACAGTTCCCTCGCAAGTTTTGCTTCAGCATTTTTTTTTACTCCTCATAGTTCCTTGCAAAGGGAGGGAGCCTCCCTCTGTGTCTCTGCCTTAATCACACCTTCCATCTAGAATACTGTCCTGGCTCCCCAGCCCCACCCCACCCCAAGCCACTCCCTCCCACTTTTGCCCTTTTAATATACATCTTTCTATGGTGGCCTTCATCACAGGATTTTCATTGATTCGATGCCTCCCTCTGGGCTGGGAATGCTCTTGGGCAGAGACCATGTCTTATTTGTCTTTTCATCCCCAGAACCTTGCACTATACCTGGCGCATAGTAGGAGCTCAGTAAATATTTATCGACATTAACTACCACAGAGGTAGCACAAACCTCCATCCTTAAGGTCCATGTTAATCACCAGACATCCTGCCTCCTTCTGGAAGTCTTGACATGATCAAGGGACAACAAAAAATTCTTTTTTTTCCTTTTTTAATATATATATATATATATATATATATATTTTCTTCTTTTTAATTTTTTTTGGGGGGTAGGCAATTAGGTTTATTTATTTATTTACTAGTGGAGGTACATGGGAATTGAACCCAGGACCTAGTGCATGCTAAACAGTCACTCTACTACTGAGCTACACCCTCCCCCCAACAGGAAGTTCTTAAGATTCAAAACCCTAATGCTAATGGCCGCCATTAACATTAGCAAGTTTACCCAAGAGGGCCTAACAGCTAATATCTTATGGTGGAACTAGGCACAGAATTCATTTATTCCTGTTGTCCTCCTGCTTTGGGTGGCTAGCTTCTAAACATAAGACTGTCCAGTTACCCCGTGCAGTAGCAGAGTCAGGGTCGTCCAGCCGGATACAATTGCCATGTAGTCTCACACTAGTCCCGCAGGTACTCAGTACAGTGCGGGAAGCAGAATGGTCATTGGTTTCTCATTCAGTTGCCCGGGTCAGAAAACCCTGGAGCCATTCTAGAGTCTTCTCCCTTGAACTGCATCCACCCATCAGCAAATTGTTAACTCCATCTTCAAAATATACGTAGAATCTGACCACTTCTCTCCCCTCCACTGTTTTAACCTACTCTAAGCCACCATCAAGTCTCATCTGGATTATGGGTACAGCATGCTAAAAGGCCTTTCTGTTTCAGCTGTCCCCCAGTGGTCTATTCTTCACACAACAGCCAGAGTGGTCCTCTTATAAGTTATACAAAATCCCACAGGATCTGGCTTCCTTCTTGCTCTGTGACCTTGTCTCTCACTACTGCTCTTCATTCACATCAGTCTAGGCATATTGGCTTCTTTGTTGTTCCTTGAATAACGTTAAGCATACTTCTGCCTCAGGGCCTTTGCACTTGCTTTTTCCTCTGCCCAAAATGCCCTCACCCCAGCTATCCCTCACCTGGTTCTGGTCTCTGCTTAAATATCACCTTATCAGTGAAGCCTCCCTAGTCACCCTAAAAAGCAACCACCACCTCCCAGCTGCTTGCCTGTTCCTCTGTGCCCCTTCCACCCTGGTTTATTTTTCTCTATATCACTGTATCTCCATAGTGGGGAACAGTACCTGACACAGTAAATAAATACTTGTTGAGTAGATGTGGATATAAAAACAAACCGGAAAGGTGGGTTTTAAAACACTGTTCCTGGTGGAAGAAGGTATAGCTCAGTGGTAGAGCGTGTGCTTAGCATGCACAGAGTCCTGGGTTCAATCCCTAGTACCGCCATTAAATAAATAGATAAATAAATAAATAAGCCTAATTACCTATCCCTCCCCAAAAAAGCTTAAAAATTAATTAACTAAAAACAAAACAATGTTTCTGAGTCACTGTTCAATCTCACTCTGATCTGTGTCCACTGTACAATTCATTCTCTTTACCTGGGGCAAAGTAGTGCTAATTGTCAGGGTTTACTTCCCTCACCCAATACACTTGCACAGATACGCACACACACTCAGTCACACCTATTCATGTTGGCTCAGGCTGGAGTCCAGTCTCCCCTAACTCCCACATCATCGCCCCATCCTCGCTCTGGTCCAGTTGCCAACTGCCCTGGGATTGTTCCCCATGTGTGACCTTACATCTAACAAGGGCTCCTTTTCTGGCCCAGCTCTGCTCTCTCAAGGACTTCCTGACTTTGGCTCCATCAGATGAAGCAGTGAATATAAGAACCATTGTTTCTCTTTCTTCCCAACAGTCCTTATCCTCCTTGAGTCCAGCCTCACCCCTGGCAGGGCCACCCACCCTCCTACATCTTACAATTTACAGGACACTTGGTGACTGAGGAATTCCTGTTCATCAGTGTTCACTGGACAGAGATGTAAGAAAGGTAGGAAGGAAGTAGGGGTGGAGGGGAGAGGGGAATTCAGGGAGAGAGGGAGACAGTGAGGGAAGGTGGGAAGGGAAAGGAAAGGAAAGTGACAGAGGAGGAAGACAGACACAAACCCTGGTTTAGGGGACAGAAAAGTTACTCGTAAAATTACATCCTTTCAGTTCCTGGAGTGGATGGCTGCCTATATGTTAAGTCACTGTGGAATCTGAAAATGAGCTCTGGCATCTCCTTCATCCCCACCTGTTCAAGGGATTTCTTTTTGACCTGAGACAAAGCCCAGGTTTGGAGTTTTTTCTCATAGTTGTAAATACTCCTAGGAGGGGTAACTGATTTAAAGTCATGCAAAGGGTGGGGAGGGTATAACTCAGTGGGAGAGTACGCGCTTAGGTGCTTAGCATGCACAAGGTCTTGGGTTCAATCCCCAGTACCTCTATTTAAAACACAAACAAACAAACCTAATACCCCCCCAAAAAAGAAAACAAATCAAATCATGCAAAGGTAAGAATGACTGATATTAGATTCTTAAGTTTTGGAAGGAAGAAAAAGAGCTCTAGGCACCTAAAGGCAGTAGGTAGCAGACACAAGGTAATGGAAAAAGACCAAAAGGAGGAGGCCAGAAGCTGATCAGCTCTGGTGAAGGCTGGACACGATAAAATGACAGGGGAGAGGCTGGAAGGTGAGGACCACACTTAGTTAAGTCTGGGCTGCCGAACTCTCACTGGGACAAGCCTTGATCACGTGTCAAACTATTTTGGTTTGGGTGCAAGAGGAAAAGGGGCACTTGCATGGCAGGATGTCCAGAGGTAGAGCATCTGGAAGACAAAAGATTTTCCTAAGTCTCTTCCCCAGAAATATCAATGGAAAACACATTTTCTTTTATTCTGCTGTTGTCTTTTTTTGGCTTTGCCAGTCTGCCAGCTTCTAATTTCTGTCTTTGTTCCCCTCTATCTCCACTATTGTTTTTTTTCTCTCTAATAATGATCAAGTCCAAAGAAACCTAAGAAGCCCCACTCCCACTACTATTTCCTGAGTCACAGGGACCTCTCCTCCTTCTCCCCCAGGGAAGTGTTGCGGATGGGAACAAGTCTTTCTCACTGTCAGGCCCCACAGAGCACTCACATGGCCAGCGGCCAGTGTAAAGAACCAGGAGAGCTGGAGTTTGGATGAGTCTGGTCTAAAGTCCACCTGAGACTGTCCAAATACTCTGACACCCCCGGGGAGGGCCCTTCTCTCCAGTTGGGCCAGATTTTATGCAAGACATTTAGCATGTCAAAGTATCAGCCTCTAGCCTTAGAGTCAGGTCTCCTCGGCCCCTTTTCAACTCCGCCCCTGGGTGATCTTGGTTAATAGAGCTCTCCACCCCTTCTCCCAAACGTTAGACTTTTGACCTACCTACCTGCCTGACTAGAGGCAGGAAAGGTCCATGCGGACTGAGAGCTCTTGAGGATACAAGAGTTGGAGAGAAGAAAGGAGAGATTGGCATTAAATAAAAAGATTTCAGATCTAGGACTTCTACCCAGTCTGACCCTTCACAGCAGTGGGGTCCGGGGGCCTCTCCAACGCCTGTTCCTAAGGGACTGCAGTTCCAGCCTGGCCGAAGAGCGCCATCTGGCGGCCTGTCCCCCAACCTAGATTTCTCCTTGCCCCAGCCTGAGTTCTCGAAGCCAGAAGACCTGGGCAGAACTGTCACCTCCTCCCCTGCGTCACTCCGAGGACCCCGCCCCTGCCTGGAACGCGCCTCCTCCGGAGGGGACTGGACCTAGCGCCTCCCCCGCAGAACTGCAGCCCTTCCTCCCTCTCGGGTTGAACGCTTCCTGGGTAGAAATCTGCTTAATGCTCCCCCAGGGACCCGCCCCACCTCGTCGCCCAAGGGGAGCCCGCCTTCCTCCATGGGAATCTGTCCCCCGTCCTCTTCCTCCCCTCCCGAAGGATGGACTCCTCTGCTCCTCCCCCACACCCGTAGAGAGCCTCCTGCGGTTTACAGGACCCAAGTCCAGGTCACCTGATGACG